AATTCTTCACAATTATTAGAGGGACCCCCCCCCCTCCCCCAAGTCTATAATTTACACATACACACACATGCGTGTGCAACCCCAAACAGGGCCCCAGCCGCGTGCTATGTACAGCTCCCTATTGTACTCTCATTTCCTGACAGGAAAAGAGGAGGCTCTCGCTCTCTCGAACGAAAAAAAATGACATGTGGTAAGGACTCTGCGCTGACCCAAGAGATCTGCGTCGGTCTGACTCAAACGTGCTATTTTAACAAACCCACCGTTACAGGAAAACGGAAGATAGAAATTAAACAGAAAAAATCATTCACCCATTGCAAACGTCTGTATTCAATGGTCTGTCTGCCATTATGAATTATATATGTGCTCTATCTTTTTTTTTCTAAATTGGTGCTGTAAAATTGAAGTCTCTTTGTCTATTTTAAGATTTAATGGCCGGTCAGACTGACAAGACAAAACAAAACAAAACACGAGCAAACCCATCCCTCCCGCCAATTATCGTCAAATAGCTGACGCCTGAAAAAAATGCCCCAAAAAATCCCATTTCTGGTCAGAGCAGTCAGGCTTTTTTTTTTGTTGAGGTCAGGCACTGTCGATAAGTAAATACGTCTCGATGAAAAATAATAGGCGGTTTAAAACGATTTCGCTGTTAGAGTGGTGGGATGGGGATTTATATTTAACCAAGCAGAGATTTGAAGTGGGGCGACTACCTCAGTTAATGACAGGCTAGTCCTCGAAAACACAGCTCCGAAACCACAATGAGCTATAATGGAGCAGTTAGCCAGAGGTACTGGCTCATGAGAGGAGAACGGGGAGCCACTACTCACAGCCCTCACTTCATCAAAGTTACATACGGCCGTGTCTCATTGTGCTTCGAGCCCCTCGACAGCCTCTTAAAGTAAGGTGCTGCTGAAGGCAGTCAAACGCTGCATTACATATATACAGAAATATCATTTAACGGATAGTGGAAGTGCTTTTGAGGTCAAAGGAAAGGGAAAATTGACACATACTTCTCACTTTCCTTCTCTTTTATTATTTTTGGACTTTTTTGCCACTTCGTTAGACAGGATAGTGAAAAAGGAGCAGAAAATTATTGAGGGAAATAGAGGAATTGGGACGTCAAAGTCGCACTTTTTCCGACATTAGAGTGCCAATGATGGGATGTTTGGAAAAAATGAAAACAGCCTGGAAAAACAGGCAAAAAAAAAACTTCTGGTCTGGAATCGACAAAGTCAGTAACTGATAAAAATCAGATGATAAAATCAGTCCAGCTAATACGTGCTACAAGAAGTACAATCATATTTTTGGACATGGTCGTTTATTTTTGGACACACGCTATTAGAATATTGAGCAAAAAGTCAATAAAACAAATATCGACTTGTAACTTGGGTTGCCATGTAAATATTATTCAGCATCATGGTATTATGACGATTACTGCATACTCTATTAAAGAGGGTGGGCCAGACCCCTCTGGAGCTGAGCTTGTACAACATAAACAGAGCCAAGAGTTATTCTGAACCTGCAGTTAAATACTTTACAAAACTCAAATATAATCATGTGAAAGGCCTACTTTTTAAAAGCACAGCTATTTTATGAATACCTTTTCAGATAATTTACCATCATTAGCATAGAAGAGCAGAAAACACTTCAAAGCTCTCACACTTGAGTTGCTGGTAACTAAGAGATTGAGAAACCCTTACAGCGAGTTATTCAGCGCAGCGGGTTACTCAACCTAATCAAACTCACGCAACAGTACAAATAATTGACTGAATTATCAAGGAACATTAGGTGTAACTGTTTTAGCAAAAAACAGCCTGTATTAGACAAAAACAGGCCTTAATTATATAGTATAAAGTAAAGAATGTTTTAAGAAGGTCCTTAAAAATCCTTATATTATTATTATGATATTTTAAGTCTGTGCTCCAATGGGCATTTGAATATAATCTGCCTGCTGTCATTTTGAATGGTAATGTACATTACTTATGGAACATATAGTAATTTCATTCCCTGAGAAGAAATGCTGAACTTATTTCACGTCCTTTATAAAGAATTATTAATATAATGCAAACTTTACTATTGCAATATTGGTGTGCTTGTAAAATTCTAAACGCTTTTGTGAATTTTTGCCGACAATTCACAGCAAAAAAAAAGTCGTAGTCTAAAGGCCACCAATAACTTATAAAATATATTTTTGATATATTTTTTTTATATTTCTTTTTATATTTTTTGCACAACAGAAAATTGATCTGTAATATCTGTTAAATCCATGCATCCATCTATCTACATACACACAGAGAGAGAGAGAGAGAGAAAGATAAAAAGAGAGATTGTTGTTGGTAAGATATGTGACCCACCAGTTGAGAACCACTGATTCAATTAAAATATTTTTGAATATATTTAGAGAAGTAAAAAACAAGAATAGAGTCATTGTCTTACATAATATTGTTACTGATTACCAGAGCGTCCAAAAGAAAATCTCATTTAACCACAAAAAAAAAAAAAAAAAAAAAAAAAGATGCTCTCTGAGATGTGAAACTCAGGAGACCATCATTCTGGCTCGGCCCTGAACAAATAGACTTACCTGACACCATGGAGCGAAAACATCATTAGGATTTCGCTCTCATCCGTCGGACGGAAATAAAAGAGCGGGAGAGCAAACAGCGAGAACGTATCAAAACTGTCTGATCTGATTAGATGCTGACAAAATATGGAGGCTTTGTACAACACAAGCGGGCCTCAAATAACAAGAACAAGAAAAGCAAACTGTCACATAATAAGCACTGTTGTGAAATCAGGTGGGCTTTTTAGCCCGACAAGACTATAATCAGACCTTCTTCCACCAGGTCTGTGACAAGTTAAGCCAACAGGTCTTTTCCCTCTCGTTCCTTACAAGGATTAATTGGTGTGAGCTGTGAGCATGATATACACATATTTGTCATATTTGCTGTGTTAAGCCATGAGGAGACTGTAGTTTAACAATAGTGCTCTTTGACTGCTAGCTGTCACACTGCATTGATAAAACAACTGAAACTAGATGATCAGGAATTTCACGCAAAGGGAAGGTTACCTCACGAAGATTACAATGAATTTTGGAAACATGCTAATATCATATTCAAAGAATACTTTGAATAAAATAAAATAGTCAAATAACATCAAATAAAATCATTCCAATAATACCTATATCTGTGAATATAAGAGTATCTGTGATCTGTCTCTATATCTGTGAATATAAGAGAGTTCACCTCCAACCATATTACACACACCTGAACCCACTTATAAAGGTCTTTAGGCTCAAACTTTCAAGCAAGTGTGTTGAAGCTAAAAATCTGAACTGGACACCGGCTCTCCCGGAGCAAGATTGAAAACCCCTGCTCTATATAACTTGACATATTTCCAGTATTCCACCATACAGTATTCACCAGTTACATATGTGTCTTTAGATTGTTTCAGGAATTACGTAATTTACTTATTAAGTTTGAGGCAAGTTAGTGATTTTATAATGCAGGTTCAGATCCACACATTGGATTTAGGGGGTGCGTTCACACCAGGCGCGAGTGATTTCAATGCTAAGTCAATGCAAAGACGCGCTACGCGTGTAAAAAAACTTCTGTGGCGCGAATGAGGCGTAGAGCGTGGCACCGTAGACGCGAATACGCCTTGTTCGCGCGAATTGAGCGTCTGGCGCGTTACGCACAAATGATTTCGTTAGTGCTTTTTGTCCATTCACGCGTTTGGCGCAAATTCTCGCCTGCCGCCCAAGCTGAAAAATCTGAACTTTGCCGTCAATTCGCGCCGCGTTAACCAATCAGGAGCCTACTAGCTCAGTATATAGATGCTTCAATAAATTATTTTGTAATATGACTAAATGCCTGGTGTGGTTCTAATGCACAACAAAGCAAATATTTTATCACTTAAAACTTTATTTCAATATACGAGACATGTTCATTTTGTACTGGATGTTATTTATTCCATATCTAGATTATATGAAATATTATTATAGTGTAAAGACAACCAACATACATGTGCATAAGTTCGTGTCTAGACGTGAGATAGAAAAAAAAATTAATAACTTTTGGAGGCTGGCTCTATTGATCATCAAAACAAAAATAAATGACAGATTAGATTGGATGAGGGCGGGGGTTGATCTGATGTGGGACAACAGGTCATCAAACTGAGCGTGGGACAGACGAAAATACCGCGACAGCGGCCGTCATCCAGGAGCGAGCAAATTGTGAAACTCGCCAAACGGTTCACCTCCGAAGGGTCCGGTGGACACAAATACAGCGACGATGATCCCCACGCTGAAAGCAAATACAGAGCGGTGACTCTCTCGATGAATGATTGGTCGGCATAAAAAAGATGGCCGTCAACGGGTTTCGATTCCGACGCGCATGACGCACGTAAATTTCGTTTCAAACTTTTGCTTTTACACTCGTCAATTTCACTCTTGACGCGCAAAGTGTTCAAGCGTATAACTAGATGCCGTAGGCGCGAATTTGACGCAATATTCGCGTCTGGTGTGAACGCACAGTAAGAAAGCCCCCAAAAAAATCTAAAAACAAACTAGACAATAACAAGCTTCTCAAAATTATATATATATACAATTCACACAATTTGAACCATTATTTTTAAAGCTCAAGTCTATTTTCTGCACCACTACCATCACCAAACTGCAAAAACATGACTGTTTTCGACTGTTTCCCTGAGCACTCGCCCCATCTGCAATTGGCTGGTCAAACAAATAGTGCCACCCTCAAACTCACACCATTGGTTGAACCAATCCCACTGTTGTTGGGCTCAAACAAAACAGACGAATGTTTTCATACCAACGCACAGACCCACAATTTACACTTTTTACAGGGAAACAACACAAATGGCTGGCTTAGAGCTGTTTTGGGGATAAGAGTAAGCATTTATACACATAAAAAGACAACACACACATCATCATCCTTAAGAGTTTATGATAATAAATATGAGTAAAAAAGTTTAGGAAAACAACTCACCTCTGCTTGGAAGCCTTTCAGCAAAGGAGCTATCTGTTTACGCAAATCCTGCAATAGAAAAAAAAACAGACATTAGATCTATAAGAACTATTTTATAAGATTCTGAACAGTGTTTGAAATTAATAGATAAGACATTGTCTATCAAATTCTCCATTTTTGTTTTCAATGTAGCATTTGTGGAACTCAGGATATTGAGAGAAGACAATGCCACGCATCTGATCGTAGATGGAGGGGGGAAAAAATACACAAAATGTATTCAAAATGTATTGGATATCTTAATTTATCAAATGTCCGAGGGCTGGGTTTGTTCTCTTCAAAAGAGGGGGAAAAAAACACACAGCAAGTGCGTGCCCAAGTGTATGCACATGCACAAATGCTCTCTCACACAAAAGAGTATCACCTTGTCCTGCTCCTGACTATGGGCAAAGGACAGTATTTGCTTTAAGGAGTATATATATGTATGCATCTGTACTCGCTCTCTGTCTCTCCTGATATGCCCTCATTTTTCCCTTGCATGAGTTCTCCATGACTCAGTCCTCTCTGCTGCAAAAAACTGCTCATGCAAAAACAGCGAGAACAAAAAGCAAAGTGTAGCGCCACATGCATGCATACGTGCGCTACAGCCGTGCAGTCGATGCGAATAAATTACATAATTAGTTCAAAAGAGAGATTTACAACTGCAGTCTATTACTATATCATCCTGTCATAAAGTTACAGATGAATGAGTTGCTTTTCGGCTCATGTTTCTGAGGGATATGAAATTTTCATTAAAAAAAAAAAAAAGAAGAAGAATCATAAAGAGAAATAAAAAAAAAATCTGCTTCTGGAAAACAAACCGTGTCTTTGTTTCAAGTTTTGCATGGCAGCGCACCTCCCTCCTCTTACAGGCCCTTACAGTCGAGTAATTTTGATGCCGTGGTATTAAAGTATATCAGATTAAGATGAACATCAATGCCTCTTTCATTTGAACATAGGGTGGGTGTTTCAACATGAAATGACATTACACACGGCTGTGAATAAATCTTCCGGCCGGACAAAAAGCCCTCACATTAAAAATCAGTATAGGAATGCCTACCACGCACAAACACATTACTGAGCGCTGGGGCCGAATAAAACGGCGCCCTGAGTGCTGTAATCGCCAGGACGCAGGCCATTACGCCACTGCGGCATAAAGATATACACATCATTACCGAAGCTGCTCGCGTTTCATTAGCAGTGTAGGAGTCACCATGGCAGATACATTTAATATAATGGGCAACACACAATTGTATTTTACAGTAAAAGTAGCAAAAAAAATCCTCCTCCTTAGCCCGGCAGCCACTCCAACTTTCTTTATGTCTTTTTCTGTGGTCTAAGAGTTGAGTAATGATCAGTGTTTCAGATTCACAAATAAAATTATTAAATATTTTAATAATTTAAGAGAAAATACTTTTGCATGATCTATATGCATTAGACCACAAAGTAAAAAAGCAAAACGAAAAGGTAGCTACTTAAAAAAACTAAATATAAGATAGCTAAACATTTTTTGGTAATTATACTTTGTATGTGTGTGTTATTGTATAAATGGGTAATTTATCTCTCATTTGAGTTGATAAATTAGTCAATATTACGCAAATTAGCATTTTTACAAAGTTGGGAACACACCATTTACCGTAATGTTTTGTGAACTGCTAAAATGTTACCAATAATTGTTGGTATTGCATTGCCTATCAGCCAGCCTGCTCTTAAGATATCATCAATACCAAAATTTTGGTTTCGGTACAGTATTGAACTAGTATCGATAGTAAATCATTACCTTTCACTGAAAAAAATTAACATTTTGACTGCTAGAATCTGTACAGTCAGATATTTTCTAGGTTCTCCATGTAAAAGCAAAAAAAAAGGTACCTATGAGAGGTCCGGTGCTAAACCCATGCGCAGCTTTCGCAACAGGATGTAAACAAAAGAAAACAATAGAATAAATATGTAATATTTCTAAAGAAAATATGAAAGCACCACTCAACTTTTCTCAGTGCAAAACTTGCTAAAACAAGCTTCTCTTAGTGGTTGCCAGGGTGTTGCTAGGACTTTAAGGGTGGTTACCGAGGTATAGCTAGGGTGTCCTCAGTGGTATTTATTAGGGGTGTAGCGATACCCTTAGGTCACGATTCGATACATATCACGATACTGAACTCACGATACGATATTATTGCGATACTGGGATATGGTAAAAGTTTAACAAAAAATATACTGTTGATTAAAATGCTAACTTGTGGGTATAAATGAATAGGCTTGGACTTGGTGCTTGTAACCCAAGGACAACAATATTCATGATTCTGAAGCTGAAAATACAGAATTATTTTAGAGTAATATTCTTCTGACTAGAAACATTTAATATATTTCGATATATTTAAAATAATGTTGGAGACTTGAGAGATTGACATTTGGCATTATCAGGACCCAGAAATATTCCCCTACTGCATTATTATACATTATAATCAACATTATATATTGCAGTTTAATGTAGTACTGACACGAAAACTTTTGTCATTTTTATTTTGGGGAACTATCCACGATACGTATTGTTGCATATTTGTACTGCGATATATCGTGGCACGATATATTGTTACACCCCAAGTACGTATGCCTCTCTTATGCAAGTCTATAGGACTAGTTTGCCCATTTCTTGCCCAACATCTGTCTATCCACCTTGCATTATAGAAATAAGCTATTTTTTGTGAACGTGTGATATTTTCAATTCATTAGCCGCTATAGGTAAATCTACAGGTCTAAAGGTCTGTGCTACAAACCAGTGATCTAGTGCCGATAGTAAATCATTATCTGTCAGTGAAAAAACATTGTGACTGCTAGTGTATACACACACACACAACATGTCAGCAAGGTGGATGGTGATGAGCAGGTAACAATGACAAAGCAAGATTCCCTCAACTGGCTGACGTCTGCACGTCTCACTCATGTATGGAGAGAACGAGCGCTGGCAGAGAGCCGACAGAAGTGGTGGAGGGTAGCTTTGACCCCACTGCACTCTTCATCTTCCCAGAGCGAGCAGCTGGGCCTCCGTTCCCGCTCTCCCGCCCGCACTGGCTACTGTACAGATGACATTTATGTAAGTGCCGCACCAGAGGGGCCCACGTGACCAGGAGGAAACATCTCTCAACATCTGGTTTCAACATAATACTCGGGGCCTGGCCAAAAGAGAGTTCCCCTGCCCGCCTTGAGCGGTATTCTCGTACTCCCATCTTTCTCTGCATATGCAATCTGCCAGCGTTTCTTCGCAAAGAGTGCAGTGCATAAAAATACATTTACATTGTTAGCGAATGGATAAAAAGCTTGCAATAAAAGTAAATCTCCAGGAACCGAGCCAAGTTCGAGCATGTGCAAGTCGTTGTTGAATCCAGAGGGGCCTGAAGACGGAAACACAATCTGTCGGACTACTGCGACGTGAGGTCAAAACATGACGTGACGGAACGAGCAAAACCCATGCAGACTGCAAACTGCACCTCATGGACGACTGAAGAGAGAAATTAATTATAGAAATATTATCCGATTATCGGCATCAGATGATATCATGCATGCATGCATTTGGAATAATTAGTGATTCGAGCAAATATTGATACATACAGTAAATCCTACTATAATTAAATTGGATTTGCTTGTATGACCTACATTGTGATCAAATTAAATTAAGACGAATTTTTTTTTTTTAATTTAAAAAAAAAATTTTTTTTGGCAAAGTAAATAAACACATTTCTGCTCAAAGTCCTGGTTAATTTCCGTCACTTGATCAGCATTGTATATCAGCTATTGGTAGTATTATTAATAACCTATCTAAAAAATATAAAATATCATGATGATATCATGCATGCATGCATTTGAAATAATTAGTGATTCGAGCAAATATTGATACATAAATCCTACTATAATTAAATTGGATTTGCTTGTATGACCTATATTGTGATCAAATTAAATTAAGACGAAATTTTAAAATAAAATAAAATTTTTTTTTTTTTTTGGCAAAGTAAATAAACACATTTCTGCTCAAAGTCCTGGTTAATTTCCGTCCCTTGATCAGCATTGTACATAGGCTATTGATAGTATTATTAATAACATATCTAATATATATATATATATATATATATATATATATATATATCAGATGATATCATGCATGCATGCATGCATTTGGAATAATTAGTGATTTGAGCAAATATTGATACATACAGTCAATTCTACAATAATTAAATTGGACTTGCTTGTATGACCTATATTGTGATCAAATTAAATTAAGACGAAATTTAAAAAAAATTTTAAATAATTTTTTTTTGGCAAAGTAAATAAACACATTTCTGCTCAAAGTCCTGGTTAATTTCCATCCCTTGATCAGCATTGTATATCAGCTATTGATAGTATTATTAATAACATATCTAAAAAATATGATATCATGATGATGCATGCATGCATTTGGAATAATTAGTGATTCGAGCAAATATTGATGCATAAATCCTACTATAATTAAATTGGATTTGCTTGTATGACCTATATTGTGATCAAATTAAATTAAGACGAAATTTAAATATATATATATATATATATATATAATAATTATAATAATTTATTAATAATTTTAACATGAATAATTTTTTTTTTTTTGGCAAAGTAAATAAACACATTTCTGCTCAAAGTCCTGGTTAATTTCCATCCCTTGATCAGCATTGTACATCAGCTATTAATAGAATTATTAATATCATATCTAAAAAAATGAACCACTGGAAAGCAAAAGAGTTTTGAGCAAATGATCACATCCGTTGAGGGGCTCGTGAGTGGCGCCGTACTCAATCAACCGGCAGAAACACGTTCTGCAGTGTCCCCAAATCCAGATCCCCTACTCTAGCACGATGCATCTTTAAACCCACTGGTTTGGCAGATTACACAGCTGCATGTGCCAGCCCGGTGAATTATTTACCATCAACGTGAGCCTCTCCCTCCTCCCACTCGCTCCATTATATAGAGCATCACATGCCAACTGGTTCTGGCACGCTGGCATCTGC